GAAACTCCTCTGCCAAAGGCCTCTCCCCAGTCACACCTATTCCCTTCCTCCTGGGATCCTCGAGCAAACACTGGGAAAGTTGATAACTGGAGAGTTACACTTTTAAGTCCTTAAAGGGTCGATAACTCAGGCCAAGATTTCTAAACAACTCTGCCACTGGGGAGGAGCTGTACTGAGAAGGCACAAAAGGTTTCTCAGCACCTTCACAGCAGGATGGAGAGATGCCTCCGTCTCCATTTCCATGGGAAACAGGCAAACTTGGGTCCGTCGTGCAGGATCTCTGCTCCCCTCCTTTGGGAGCTGAACCAAGCAGCAGGTTCCTTTTGTGAGCTGTGTGAGACTCTGGCAGGGCAGAGCAGCAAAACCTCCCCGGGCAGCTTTAATGTCAGGACATTGCAAGTCTGCGGACTGGGATTCTGCCTGGATGATCCCACCAGGGCACCCCATTACCTGTTTCTGATGCAGCCTGCAACTACCCAGCATCTGTGGTTTGGCAATGCAAATGTGACACATCCCTCCTCATTCTAACAGCGTCACTTTGGAAGAAGCACGTTTTCTGTTAGCTGTAAGAACCTAAACCCATGCCTGAAGATGGTATCTCTCACCATTCAGTTGGCCCAGACTCCCGTCCTACCTATCCAAGTGGCAATGAAGTGCTGCTATCCATAAGAGCATCCTTTAGCAGTCCCAAACAACCCAGTGACTTTTCTCTTACTACCCCCAGTAGATAACCCCCCTCCATTAGATAAACCCCCCATTTGGGTGGAGTGTTTCATTCTGCTGCACCTACTTGTATCGCAGCTGTATAAATCAGAGGTTTCTGTAGTACTGTGATACCCTTGGAAGCTGCAGGTGGAGGGATAGAGAAGTGGCAGAGCAAAAGGGCCATCACGGTGCACTGCAGGAGGGATGGGAAGGGTCATCATGTACATGTTTTTCTCCTGGTTGCCCCACGGATCATAGGTAGGAATGCAAGGGTACAAGCAGAGGAAGCCAGAAGAAGCTCCTGCAGTGTTAAAGTGTCTCCCAATGGAGATCATCAGCTGGATTTGAGCAAGAAGTCTGCCGCCAGACCTGCTTCTGAAGTGGTCAGTAGGAAATGCCTGTAAGGAAATCAAACCAACAAATCAAGCCAACCCAGAGGTCAAACTGACACTGTGTGCTTAAACTAAGCTAAAAAGGACCCTGTTGCTTCCAAGTCCGGGATCTTTAACTCTGGTAGTAGCCATAGTCAAGCAGAAGTGAAGAGATCTCTCTGATGGGATTCTCAGAGACAAAGATGTATTCTGAAGTTAGGCCAATGAGTCCTCAGTTCTGTACACCAGCCCTGATTCCTCCTGAAGAGGCTCCCGAGATGATCATCTTCATTCAGCTGAAGGCATCAGTAACAAGAAAACCTGATCTGCTTCACCAGGGATTAGACACAGCTTGACCCTTGTGAGGGGCGGTGATGGCAAGGGTAGGTGATATTCCCCATATCCCTCCCTCCGCAGGGAGGGACACCTCACACTAAACCATGCCACTCAAGGCTCTGTCCAGCCTGGCCTTGAACACTGCCGCTTCCTTGGCTAACCTGTTCCAGTGCCCCACCACCCTCAGAGGGAAGAACTTCTTCCTTATCTCCAACCTGAACTTCCCCTGTTTCAGTTTGAACCCATCACCCCTTGTCCTGTCGCTCTAGCCCCTGATGAAGAGTCCCTCTCCAGCATCCTTGCAGGCATCCTTTAGACACTGGAAGCTGCTCTGAGGTCTCCATGCAGCTCCTCTTTTCCAGGCTGAACAAATGGCTCAGACTCCTTCCTCGACAAGAACCGAGGGGCAGTTTTGCAGGAGTGTTCTGCTCTTGATTTCCCACTGGAGAGCTGTGGAGAAAAAGATCCCCCTTGCCTTCCAGCAGGCACTTACCCACCTCCCACTGCCACCAAGGCTGGCTGTTTCAATGGAGGCTCTATGCAGCTTCAGAGGGCACTGACACTTAACAGCATTTTGGAGCAGAAGGATCTGGCTTTACCCAAGCTGCTTGGCACAAGTGGGGAACAAGCAGTGTGTGACTTTGAACCAACCTCCCAACTTTCCTGAGTACAGCCCTTTGCCAGTGTCACAAAAGAGCCGGATAACCAGGACGCTCTTTCTCTGTTAAAGAGCAGTCTGATCCTCTTGACTTTTCTGCCCATTAGAAAGTAAAATGAGGCAGGGAATGACAAACTTATGCTGTCAAAACCAAGACAGTCACTTTGAAAATCAGTAATACCCCAAGGTGTTATTGTGAGTTAACAGCTCTCTCAGGCCTGAAGCACAGAGCGGGTATTAATGCTGTTCTCGCCGCCTTTCCCACCACAATCCCCGCTCCTCGAGAAAATCCCTGACATGGAATTCTACTTAAAGCAAGGGCACATTTTCCAGCTCGGTGCCCAAATGAAAAAGAATCCAGAGAGATGAGAAAAAGAGAGAAAAGGAACGTGCTACAGGGCCCCCCTGTGCGTGTTATGTATGGCAAACCCCAAACATCAGCTCGTTCTTCTGGGGTGCTTTGACAGGCAAGTGACTCCCACTCCTTTATTTTGACTTGTTTAGTTAAAAGCAGTGTTGGAGGGGATGTGCAACTTCAGAAAGAAACACTGGAGATGGGGAATACTGACATGAGGTGCTCAGCTCTCCGCTTCACCCGCCTCATCCCTTCCTGCTCCTCAGCCCTTGCTGCCCTGAGCCCTCACTGGGGTGGCTCATCCCACAGCTATGAAAATGCACTTCCCAGCAAGCTTAAAAAGACCCCCCCAAAGTGATCAGCTCCCAGCACACGGGTGCTTTAAAGAGAGGTGAAACATGTGGGAAGGCTGCTGAACCTCCACAGGTTTTGAGGTGCCCTCCAGCTGTGTCCCTGTATTTCTCAGTTATGGAAATGCATGCCCCTCAGAGGGCAGGTTGTGAACGAAACAGATCTGAGCTGCCGTGGGTACCCCTTGTGTTCCTGGTCTGCTCAGGGGAGCTAAAACCCGATATATACAGCTGGTACCACTGCACCAGGGGAATACAGACAATTCAGGAGGTGATGTTTGGCACTGGGAACCTATTAACCCCCACTCCTAGGAACAGGCATTTAGCAGTTTGGAAAAGCAATGGCGTTTCTTTTCCTGAGCACCGCATATGGACAGATATGGCCACTAAATCCTGTTATCTCACCACAGACTTACAACACATTGTTCTTTAAAACTAAAGATACTTTGGAAGACTAGTGTGAAACAATTAACTCATCTTTAGTGGGGCCACTACATTCCACAGACTTACAACATAAACATTGTTCTCTTTCTACAACCTAAGTTAAGGTAAAAAGTACTTTATGTTTTCCAGGCACCAGCTTTTCTTATATCAATCCCCGCAACCTCCCCCCCCCCCCCCCCCCCCCCCCGTCTTTCTTTTACAAATTCTTTTGCTATGTGACTCCGTTTTGCTCAAGAGTTCTGGCCCTTTTTAACTTGTTGTCTAATCTTGTGTCTTTAGCTAGCTTTGTGTCTGTTACTGTAAACTGGTACAGTTATCCCCACATAACCACACCTATGATTTGCGAAAGCCAATACATCTATGTGTTTATCACGTTTGCGTGCACACACACACAGAGGCTCAGACACACGCATGCGTGCGTCCATCAACTCACAGGACACGGGCAGAACGAACAACCCAACAGTTTTATTGGTGACTTCGAAGAACTTCTATCCTGCTCCATGAATAAGGAGCATCACGCTGGGGCTCAGGGCGCTTGTGGGGCAAGCAAAAGCCATTTGTCCTCTGCTGACACATGGGCACCAGGAACCCCTGACCAGCTTCTGGGATCTCTGAAGTGACAGCAAGGACATAACAGCAATGTCACAAAAGCCATTGGGGAGGCAGTTGGAAGTGAGTGAGCATTAAGCTCCCTCCCAACCCAAACCACTCGGTGAGTTTATGCTTCTATGAACATCAAGGAAATAAGAGCTGGGAAATAATAGCCGAGAAAATAACAGCAAGGAAATAGCATCTAAGGATATAGCCAAGGAAGCAACATCAAGGAAACCCTCAGAAGTTCCTACACGGAACAAGAGCTGAACTCGGCACCAGCACTGCCACCATCACATTTACCTTATGTCAGAGACCACCTCTTCCAAATCTGACTCCTCCTCCCGAGCATCAAGCTGAGCCAGGGCCGCCTCCTGCGGGGCAGGGATTAGAGAGGTGAGAAGCAGGCATGGGGCAGGGACCGGGTAGAGGGACAGAGCTGGCGCCTGCTCCTGCCCTTACCTCCTCCTTGTCCCTGTCCGTGTCCTTGCTCCTGCTCCAGCACTTGGGCCGCAGCTTCTGAAAGCACCTGGAAACAGGGAGGAGCAGGAGGATGAGAAGCAAAGGATGAACCCCTCCAGTGCTGGAGGAGTTGGGGGGCTCTGGGCAGGGCTGGGTGCTGCTGGAGCAGAGCCTGTTGGGGCGGGGCAGGGCAGGGCAGGGCAGGAGTTACCGCTTCAGGCTCCATCTGCTGCTGCCTTGGGAATCCTCGGCACGTTTCTTGGCACAAAGCTGGTGACAGAGAGACAGAGACTCGGAACATGGAGGTTTCCACATGGAATTCTGCAGCACAGGGGAGCCGGAAGGTTCTTCCTCCGGCCCAGTGCCGTCTACACACGCGCAAGGCTGTGCCAGCAGCCACGCCTTTAAGAAGAGCCCCCCCTGCCTCCCTGCCCAGCTCCCCGCTGCTCCCCGCCTCTGGAATGACCCAGAGTTCTCCTCAGCGTTGTTAATTTCTGCCTTTCTCCTCTGCACAGAGCTCTGCAGGCTCCCCGCCCCGCCCCTTCAACCACCGCCTGCAACACGCGCCATGCCTTCTGAAGACATGAAAGCTCATTTGTCTATTTGGAGGAGAAGGCCCCCAAAGGGAGGTTCAAACTCCGCAGCAACGATTGGGCCCCTGCCCTGTGCCCGGGCACGGCCCCGACACGCCAGAGCCGCAGCACCATGCAGAAAGGCTGGGTATGGGCTCAGGGCAGGGAGCAGGGGCATTGCTGCACGGCTGGAAGCAACGGGTGCTGCAACAGAGCAAGGCCAGGCCAGGAGTTGGGGAGGGGATGCTTGGGGCGAGGGACTGCAGGCTAGAGCCTGGTAGGGGCTGATGGCAGAGGCTGTGATGAGAGGGAGCTGCAGCCCCCCTCAAGGAAGGAGCTGCTGGGAAGATGCACAGCAGAGCTGGGGACAGACCCTGGCAGGAGCCAGGACAAGCTGCTCCCAAAAGCTCTGAACACCTACAAGCTCCAGGGTGGGGTACCACAATGAGCTCCAAGTCTGGGAAGACATCTCTTGTGCTCGCCAGCACATCCACAGGCATCCGCAGCAGCACCCGGGCCCCATGAGCACTGTGGGAGCAACCCCCCCCCCGCCCCTGTGCTCTCCAGCCCCAGGGTTTGGCTGGCAGCGCTCTGACAAACGAGTCCTTGGCTCACCTTGAAACAGCACTGCACCAGGAGAGCAACGGACGTGATGAAGTTCAGTAACAGCGAGAGCGCCAGCACCGGCGGCAGCCAGCGGTCAAAGGTGTGATTGGCCATCTCCTGGGAGAAAAGGAGAGTGCATCAGGGAGGAGAGGAGCAGGGAGGGAAGGGAGGCCCCTTCCATACCCCACTGCCCAGACACACACCTGCAGCCATGCCCCGTTCTCTCCTACCGTCTCTGCAGATTCACTGCCCATCTCCCTGGCCTGGACTTGGGCATGGGGACGAGAGGTGCCGGCATCCTCCTCCCGCACACACTGCTCCAGGAGGTCAGAGGGCTCCGGGTCACGCTGCCTCTCACTCAGCAGCTTCAGGAGCAGCTCCGTCCTCGAGACCATCTCGGCGCAGGCCTGCTGGAGCTGGGGCAGGCCACAGTCCTCGCGCAGGGCTCGAGCCACCTGTGCCATGAACCTGCGCAGGGCTCCATCTGGCACCAGAGAGTGCAGGTGGCGGCTGAGCAGGGTGTCAAAGGGGGGTCGTCGCATGGCCGCGCCACCCGGGGCCCTGGAGCTGCCCTGTGCCCTTGGGCTCGGGGGTTCCTGCTCCTTGTGATGCTCCTTGGGCTGCTGTGTGGTGGTGCTTGCAGGGGCGGTGGGTGGTCTCCCGCCGAGAGAGGAACGCTCTGCTGCAGCCGTGTCCTCTGGTGTGCTGCTGGCAGCAGGGGGGCCGTTTTTAGCCAGCAGAGCATAGAAGAAATGCTGGATAGTGCTCAGTCTCTGCTCTGCTCTACCCTCTGCTGCTGCGGGCTCTTCTTCTGCACCCTCGCTGCCCACTGTCCCATCGCTGTCCTGCTGCTTCTGCTCCTCATCTGTCCCAGCAGAGTCCTGTGTTGGCGATGGTGCTTCCTCCTCATTTTCTGCACTATCCTCATTCTCCATCCTGTCAGTCCTGTTGGTCTGCCCCATGGCGTGGGAATGATCCTGACTCTCGCCAGACCGGTCGAGATTTGGGTCCTCTGTTGGGTATTGTGCAGGGGGCTGTGCTGCAGGAGGGCTGGGTGTTCTCTGGTGACTAGAGACTGGGAGGACGTCGCTGAGGTTCATGCTCCGCACTGCTTCCCATAAGATGGACTCTGCGCGGGTCAAGCCTAAGCCCAGCTCCTGTTTCTGCCAGTTTATGGCTCTTCCTCCCTCCCCTACTGCCACCTCGTGCCCCTTGTCCCTCTGCGCTGGCCGGGCTGTGCTGGGGCTTTTCACAGTCAGGATGCTCATGGCCTTGTGCAGCTTGTTCTTTAGCTGTGCCACGAGCCCCTCTGCTAGGAAATAGAGCCTCCTGGTGTCGATAGAGCTGCTCCAGCCCCCGTGCTGAATGCTCCGCAGCATCAGCGTCAGCTCCTTGGCGGTGTTGCCCTCCTGCCTCGAGAGCTGCTGAGGGGAAGGTGCTGATGCATCGGGGCTGCTCAGGCTCCGGGCAACTGTGAGCGTGACGGTTCTCTGCTCCCCGAGTGAAGGCTCCTTAGGCTGGAGATTCAACACAGACCTGTTGTTCCCTTTCTTGGGGGGCACCGGTCCCATTAGGAGCCCTGGTGTCTCTGCCAGGGGAGCTGTAACACACCAAGAGCACTTCAGTGACAAAGAGCTTTCTGCCAGACACAGGCTCAGAAGGTTCACTATAGCTGGGGGACATGGGCAGGGCTGTGGGCCAGTTACCGCAGCGGGGAACAGTGCTGTTGCACACGCTCATGCAGTCGAAGCTGAGGGTCCTGCACGGGGTCTCAGTGCTGTGCTTGTGCTGGCAGAGGCAGCAGGCCGTGTCGATGGACAGCTTGCTAAAGAACAGAGGTTGTGCACAAACATTCAGCATCGCGACCCAGGGCAGCGACTCCAACCCAGGTGGCGCACAGAAACGCCTCAGGGGTCTGCTTCAGTGTCTGCTGCAGCTCTGGGAAACTTCCCCTCGCTCCCTGTGTCCCAATGGACACTTTTGTGGTGCTGGGTTTGTTCCCCACACAGACCCTTTGTCCCAGCAGCTGGGATCTGCTGGAGGTGGGAGCCAGCCCCCGCACACTCACAGTGTTTCCAAGCGGGATGTTCTCAGGAGCAGCATGAGCAGCGTCTGCCGAGTCACTCGTGTGGCACCCAGGTCCCTGCAAGGGTTTCAAGAAACACATTACATTTGAGGTGGCGGCACCAGCCTCTGCTCCGGGAACAAGCCCAGTCCCTGCGGCTTGCTGTGCCGGCCGCAGGGGGGGATCTGCTGCTACCTAATCCAGGAGAAAAGACGGAAAACCGTCTCTCTTTCCTGCTGTGCCCTGCTCCCACCCATGGGTCTGAACCAGAAGGGATCCTGCAGATCCCATGGGAGATGGATGCAGACAAGTTCGAGTCCCTGTCCCAGCACCGTGCTGGCTTTGCAGACGGGACACACCAGGACTGCTCAGCCTTTGCCTGGCTCTGCCGCTGCCTCCATCAGGAGAAGGGTGGGAGAAGGGTGGGATCTGCTGCTGGATCTCTGCTTTCCTGGCCACGGGGCACCCAGAGACACAAAGAAAGATCCACGGTAAGCCGTTAACAAGGAGTCCGTACTTACAGGTGAGTGACTGAAGGCAGCTTGAAGAACCACGTGTCCTCGATAACAGACAGGGGGTTATGGCGCAGGACCCTGAAATGAACCAACACCCCATGTGAGCGGGGGGTGCAGGATGAGAGCGGTGGCAGGGGCTCAGTGCTGCGTGTGTGAGGAAGGGCCTGGGGTGAAGGTTCCGAGCCTGAGCTGAAGGTTACAAGCTGGGGTAGATGCTGATGGGCAGATTCACAACATACATCAGGTCCTGACTATCTCCAGCCCAGAGAGCGAAAGCCCAGAAGTGCTGCTTCTGGAAAACACAACATCTCTTTCTTTCCTCCTCAGCTCACACTTTCTGGTGGCTTCCCTCCAACAGGACTTTCCCTATTTCTCACATTCCCACTGTCCCTGAGCGTTGTCTCTGGTCCTGCACCCAGCCAGGCAAAGGCGTGGCCTGACAGAGTTGTCATTCAGCATTGATGCTGCTGCCTACAGGGGGTAAGAGGTGAGCAGAACACAGTGACAAGTGCCACTGCTCTGAGCTACCCTTAGCCCTTGGAACACTCACAGCGTCTGGAGGAACTGCATCCCGTGCCATGCCCGGAAGGTGTCGCTCCGGATCTGGGTGATGAGATTTCCCTCCAGGCTTCTGGGGAAACAGGAGACCGCAGAAATGAATTGGGTCTGAGCCACAGGAAGCTGGAGAGAAGCAGCACTGATTTGTAGGAAACAGCCCCATCCAAGGTGGAACTGGGGGGAAACTGCCATTTTCTCTCCTGCTGTTTGTTAACCTGTCCAGGAGAGGAGATGAAGTGCATGCGTGCTGCATCTCTGCCTGCTCCAGGACACAGCAAGACTCAAGACACAGCTTCTATTCCTGCTGTGTTTGCAGAAGCCATGGCCCCATCCTGGCATGGCCACCAGCCACTCCCTGAGCTCCTGAGCTCGGCTGCTCCTTCAGCAGGAGAAACCGGAGGCCTTCTTCTAAAAATAACTGGAGCTTTTTCCAGCACCAGAAGGTTCTAAATGCAACCAGGCTTCACCAACCACACCAGGAAGGAACTCCCATAACTCACATGGTCTCCAGGAAAGGAAGGTTCTCAAAAGCACGTGCCTCGATCAACTGGATTTTGTTGTAAGATAAATCCCTGTTAACAGGAGAACACAAAACGCTGGTGACATTTGCACTGTCCCGGTTCCTCTCAGGTGCTTTGACACTGGCGGCACAGACGTGCCATCGCTCTCATTTCACGTGGGGTTTCTCTCCTGCACTGGCTTGCAGTGGTGTGTAACCGGAGGTCATGCTCCTGACGGGGGTGGCTGCAGCTCAGAGAGGTTCTCCCAGCTCTGATCCCACCAGGGGTATTTCAGGGCTGATTTTCCTCTCTGGTAACAGAGCAGGTCCTTTATGCACGCCCCAAGAACACCTCTTGAGTGCGGCCTCAGGGACAGGCTGTAACACCCTATGTGACCAACATGGGGCTAATTCCCTTAGCTCCTAAACGTCACCTCCCTGCGCAGCCCTGCTCTGATGTGTGCAGGAGTCCCCCTGCACCAAGACCCTGCTCTGCTCTGGCTGCAGCCGGGATACCCGCAGGAATAAAGCCCTTCCTGGGGCGGACTGTAGAGCAGCAGGGCCAGGGCAGGGGGGGAGGCCGTGCCCACCACCATGGACAGGGGGGTACTTACAGGTGCCTCAGCAGGAGCAGCCCCCCCAGCGAGCGCCTCTTCACCGCCAGCAGGTTGTTGTGCTGGAGGACTCTGCAAGAGACAGATGAACACGAACGGTGGCACCCGCGGCTCTCGGGTGCAATGGAGCTGTTAGGGGAGCAACCCTGCAGCAGTGTCACTGCGGCATCTCTCCGGGTCCCGCCACGACTCATCACGCTCATGGCAGGAGCAGGGGCTTGCTCCCAGCCTGCTGACCCTGACTGCAGCCCGAGCACGGGTTCCACAGGCCCAGGGATGGCCCCGGTTGGCAGGAGGTACACAGCCCAGGGCCCTGCTCGCCACGGAACAGCTCTGGGGATTCACACAGCTCCTTGCTGAGCAGCTCGGCCTTGGCTGCACGTGGCAAGCACTGGTGCGGTGCTCGGCACAGCCTCAGCTCGGCAGCTCGGCGGAGGGATGGGGATCCCGGAACCCCTGTGCCATGTCCGATACCGGTGGATACTCACAGCTTCTCAGCCCACAGGTATCCCTTCCACGGCTGAGGGCGAATGAGGGCGAGCGCGTTCCCAGTGAAATCCCTGCGGAGAAGCCATTGGCAGCGTCACCCCCAGCACAAACCCTTCCCCTGCCCCAGGGCTGCGGGGTGGCCGTGAGGCCGGCCTGGAGCTGCCCCCTCGGCGCTGCCCATCAGCCCTCCACAGGCAGCGTGTCCCTGGAGCCGCTCTCGGGGTGTCCGGGGCAGCGCCCGGAGCTGCAGGGCACTCACAGCACGGAGAAGGGCCGTTGGGGGGTGGCCAGGGGCACGCGGGCCAGGGCAGCGCTGCTGCAGTCCAGGCGGCGCCCGCGGCAGCGGCAGGGCCCCGGGCAGGGCCCCAGGGGCCGGGCCAGGCCGGGGGCCAGGCCCAGCAGCAGCAGCAGCAGCAGCAGCGGTGCCATAGCAACACAGGGCCTGAGCGCCTTTGGTACCACACGAGGCTCAAGGCTGGGGATCCAAACCAGGAGCTCTCGTCTGCGACCAGCAGCGGATCTGGCGCTGTGCTGGCCCTGCTGGGCAGATACAGCCCGGGACACCTCACACCTCACAATGGGGCCTCGCCGCAGGAGTTGCATCGGCCGGGCCTGCGAGCGTGCGTCCCCACTGTGACATGGGACAATCCCCTGCCGTTGGAGCTGGTCGCTCTGCCCCACCTGGGGCGTGTTACAGACCAGCACATCTACGCGTGCAGCACGTCTGCGTTCAGTACGTGTTTGTGCAGTCTGTGCGCGTCTGCCACGCGTGTGTGCTGGGTGCTCTCTGAAGGCAAGGGAAATCGGCTCGTCCCAGAACGATGTGTCCTCACTGGAAAAGCTTGACTCGGATCTGGCATCACTGAAATGACAGCAGGGACGTAACAGCAATGACATAACAGCCGTTGGGGAGGGGGGTGGAACTGCATGAACTGAAGGCGGGGCCTTCATCGCCTCCTTCACACTTACGACCACCTTGTACAAGCCTGACACCTCACCAGCAGTGGACTGAGCCAGGGCCACCTCCCCGCGGGGCAGGGATAGGAGCGGTGGGAAGCAGGCATGGGGCAGGGAGCAGGCAGAGAGGCGGAGCTGTTGCCTGCTCCTGCCCGTACCTCATCCTCGTCCCTGTCTGTGTCCTTGCTCCTGCTGCACCACTTGGGCCAGACTCAGGGGCTAAGACTCAGAGGCTGAGACTCTGTGGCTGAAACGGTGGCTGAGACTCTGGGCCTCAGGCTTTGGAGCTGATACCCTCAGACTCAGACTCTGCGGCTGAGACTGCTGCTGAAAGTCTATGGCTAACACTCTGGGATTCAGACTTTGGGGCTCAGACTGGGGCTGAGACTCTGTGGCTCTGACTCCGGGTCTCAGACTTTGAATGTCAGACTCTGTGACAGAGACTGTAATATAGACTCTGTGGCTGAGACTGTAGCTGAGACTCTGGTGCTCAGGTTTTGGAGCTGAGACTCTCAGCCTCAGACCCTGTGGCTGAGACTGTTGCTGAGACCGTGGGGCTGGGTCTCTGGGGCTGAGGCTGTGGGGATGAGACTCTGGGGCTGAGACTGTGGGGCTGTGTGGGGGTTGGAATGTATCAAAACTGTCAGAGACCATGGGAAGGAGGAACTACAGCAGGCAATTAAGAGCGACCCGTCCCTGACTGGTACTTGGAAGTTGTTGGAACTGGCAAGGAACGAGGATGTCGGAACTGGAAAGAGGGGAGTGCGCATGCTTTTGGAGGAGCAACCCCCATGCACCTCAGCTGAATAAAGCATACCTACTTTACAACTCTAAGGAGTTGGAGTCAATCCACGTATCACTTTCACCTGATGTAACCGCAAGGCAAACACAGATGTGCTCTGCTAATTGCTTGGAAGTATATAAATAATGGGTAACCTCTTCCCAGAGTCTCCCTGGTGATGCCTCCATGCATGACAGGCTGATAGTCCATAAACACTCAGGTAACGCCCCTGCCCTGCTTGCACCCATTACCCCCTTCTTTCCTCCCATGCCCACCACTTACTGAGGACTTCCAGCAGGATTTTCAGGCTCTCCCTGTCTCCCATGTTGACAGTTGCTTTGTAGATGCCACTGTCACTTTCCTGGACACGCTCGTCCAGCAGGAGAGATCCATCGGATGGACGGAAAACAGCTTGTCCTGCGTAGGGTGCGTGGATGGCTGGGCTGTGGGATCCCTTGTAGTACTGCAGGACGGTGTGGGAGCTGGCACCACTGAGGTATTCCCACTGCACGGAGTAGACCTGCGTGATGTTACCCAGCCCAGGAAGCAGCACTGGGGATCCCACAGCAGCAACTTTACTCTTGAGGGTTCCAAGATTTCTGCAGCCTGTTGCAAAGGCACCAGCAGCCCTGGAGGGCAGGAGAAGAGATGAGCAGGGGAGATGGAGCAAGTTGGCATGGCTGGAGAGAGGCTTTTTTACCCAGATGCCAGGGGCACACACATGGTACGTGGACTACTTACTTGGTCACAGCCTCTCACAAAGCCATCTCCCATCACGCCTCCAGGCAGGGAGACATTCCAGCTGGAGCAGATAGAGATGCCGAAACACAGCCCAGGATGCTTGGAGCTCTCTGCTTGCAGCGCTGCAAGCTTTTTCTACTCCACTTTTAGGTGGAGTTCCCTCCCAGTCCATGGCAGGAAGAGATTTTCTAATTCTGACCCAGTTTCCGTGGTTCATTCCCAATTCCCAGCCTTGTTTGGGGCTGAAGGTGTCCATCCACTCCCAGCAGAGCTGCCTCTCCCAAATCACAGGGTGATTTCTGGGCTTGTCGTGACTTGGGCTCTCAGAGGCACTTGGGGACTTCAGGAGGAGGGTAAGTCACAGTGTCACCCCCTTCGTTTTTTGCCACACCCCTCCCCCCCCCCCAAAAAAAAAAAAAATCACAACAAAACAAACCCAGTGCTTTCTAGAAAAGCCAGGCAGAATCACAACCAAAGCCCTGGGTTGGGAAGTGGAGTCTTAAAAACATACATGTTTTAAAGGGTGAATGTAAAGGGTTTAAAGCAAGGAGCCAGCCCCAAGCAGAGGAGGCAGAAGAAAAGGTGTCTATGCACAGGCGGCGGTCCATCCAGCTACTTGCTAGCAGTGTTCCTGGTGCTCCTGGGGGCTGCTCTGTTGGAGTGCCAGGATTTCTCCTAAAGCTCCTCCTCTCCTGTGTAACTGCTCCACGGGAGCATCAGCTCCCAGAGACAGGGACCAGCATCAGCCTGTCCCAGCCCCAGCCCCGCAGCCAGGCTTCCCACCGGGACACAGGCTCCAGCAGCGCTGGGACACTGGGCAGGTGGGACACAGCACCCTGGCTCCCCACACACCTCATTTGCTTGCCGGTGCCCCGGTTTCTGCCTCATCTGCAGTGGCCGCTCACGAGTGTTTGCTGCCCATGCGGACAGCCAGAGAGAGGCCTCTGTGCCCTGCCTGCTGCTCCCGGCAGCTCTGCAGGTGGGAAAGGAACCAGTGAATCCAGCTCACCTGATGGCTTCCATCCCTCATCCCCACAGCACCGAGAGACGGCTCCTGCCGTGCCTGCCCGCCCCACCCGCCCTCGCTGTTACCCAGCCTGAGAGGAAGAAACAGCCTCATGGCTTAAAGTCCCCTCGCTCTGGGAAATCACTGTTCATGCAGAACATGCGGCACCACCAGCAGAAGGGAAGAGCAAACACTTCAGGGCAGGCAGCTTTCACAACTGCAATATCCGAAGCTCATCCGATGGGCACTTGGAGCTCACTAACACCACAGCATCGGAAATCTAGGTACATTCTAACAGGTTTCTTTTCTCTTTTAGATGCTCACCCTGAAAACTCTTTGTACCTTTGCACTCCAAGGCAGCCTTGTCCATATATAAGGACACACTGAGGCTTCTCCCATAAGTAAAACTGCAATAAATGTTGTGTTATTACATACTTCAGCCCCAGCAAAAATCTGCAGCACGCCCCTCCATATGATAAACTGTCAGAAAGTGAAAAGCAGGATGCCTTGTTTACCGATGGGTCCTGCCGTATTGTGGGAAAGCTTCGGAGATGGAAGGCAGCTGTATGGAGTCGTCAACGACAAGTTGCAGAAACTGCTGAAGGAGAGGGTGAATCGAGTCAGTTTGCCGAGGTGAAAGCCATCCAGCTGGCCCTGGACATTGCTGAACGAGAAAAGTGGCCACTACTTTATCTCTATACTGACTCATGGGTGGTGGGAAATGCCCTGTGGGGGTGGTTGCAGCAATGGAAGCAGAGCAACTGGCAAAGCAGAGGTAAACCCATCTGGGCTGCTGCACTGTGGCAAGATATTGCTGCCACAGTGGGTGCAGAACCTGGTGGTGAAGGTACACCACATAGATCTTCATGTACCCAAGAGTCAGGCCACTGAGGAACACCAAAACAGCCAACAAGTGGATAAAGCTGCTAAGATTGAAGTGGCTCAGATGGACTTAGATTGGCAACATAAGGGTGAATTATTTTTGGCCCGGTGGGCCCATGACACTTCAGGCCATCAGGGCAGAGATGCAACATATAGATGGGCCCATGATCAGCAGGTGGTATCGTATTCTCTTCCCTTGTTATTTTCTCTTATCATTGTTGTCGGTGGTGGTAGCGGTGGTGATTGGTTGCTGGACTGTTCTTGTCTCAACCCGTGGGAGTTGCATTCTTTCAATTCTCCTCCCCATCCCACTGGGAGCTGGAAAGAAGAAGAGCCCC